CCCCCATGCACCCAAGATTACCTGGGACTCTTGACTATTTCCTACCTCCTGGCGGATAGCTAAATAATCTTCATCAGGTTCATCTTCTTATTTAGCTTCTCTAGGATCACGAATAATAGGCTCAAAGACCTTAAATTATGGTTAGAATCCACTTATGAGTGAATACATACCGTGTTCCTCTTTTTGGGTCTGGCTTACCTCACTCAGTAAAGCGTTTTCTATGTCCATCCATTTGCATGCAAAATTCAAGATGTCATTATTTTTTACCGCCGAGTAAAACTCTAATGTGTATATGTTCCACACCTTTTTTAACCATTCTTCTATTGAGGGGCACCTAGGCTGTTTCCAGGTTCTGGCTATTACAAATAGTGCTGCTATGAACATAGTTGAACAAACACTTTTGTAGTATGTTTGGGAATCTCTAGGGTATATTCCCAAGAGAGGAATTGCTGGGTCCTGAGGGAGGTTGACTCCCAGTTTCCTGAGAAACCGCCACACTGATTTCCAAAGTGGCTGCACAAGTTTGCATTCCCACCAACAATGGATGAGTGTTCCCCTCATTCCACATCCTCTCCAGCATAGGCTATCATTGGTGTTTTTAACTTTAGCTATTCTGACAGGTGTAAGATGGTATCTCAAAGTGGTTTTGATTTGCATTTCCCTGATCGCTAAGGAGGTTGAGCATGACCTTAAGTGTCTTCTGGCCTATTCGAAGTTCATCTGTTGTGAATTCTCTGTTCAGATCAGTACCCCATTTTTTAATTGGGTTAATTAGAGTTTTAGTGTCTAGTTTCTTGAGTTCTTTGTATATTCTGGAGATCAGACCTTTGTCTGATGAGGGGTTGGTGAAGATCTTCTCCCAGTCAGAAGGCAGCCTTTTTGTCCTACTGACAGTGTCCTTTGCTTTACAGAAGCTTCCCAGTTTCAGTAGATCCCATTTATTCATTGTTTCTCTTATTGTCTGTGCTGCTGGGGTCCTACTTAGGAAGAGGCCTCCTGTGCCTAAATCTTGTAGACTACTTCCCACTTTCTCTTCTATCAGGTTCAAAGTGGACGGATTAATGTTGATGTCTTTAATCCATTTGGACTTGATTTTTGTGCATGGTGATAGATATGGATCTACTTTCATTTTTTTACAGGTTGACATCCAGTTATGCCAGCACCATTTGTTAAAGATGCTTTCCTTCTTCCATTGTATACCTTTAGCTCCCTTGTCGAAAATTAGGTGTTCATATGTTTGTGGGTTAATATCTGGGTCTTCTATTCGATTCCATAGGTCGACTTCTCTGTTCTTATGCCAATACCAAGCTGTTTTCAATACTGTAGCTCTATAATAGAGTTTGAAGTCAGGGATGGTAATGCCTCCAGAAGTTCTTTTATTGTATAAGATTGTTTTGGCTATTCTGGGTTTTTTGTTTTTCCATATAAACTTGATTAATGTTCTCTCAAGGTCTGTGAAGAAGTTTGATGGGATTTTGATGGGGATTGCATTGAATCTGTAGATTGCTTTTGGTAGAATTGCCATTTTTACTATGTTGATTCTCCCAATCCAAGAGCAGGGGAGGTCTTTCCATTTTCTGGTATCCTCCTCAATTTCTCTTTTCAAAGGCTTAAAGTTCTTGTCAAATAGGTCTTTTACATCCTTGGTTAGAGTAACCCCAAGATATGTTATGGTGTTTGTGGCTATCGTGAAAGGTGATGTTTCTCTGATTTCCCTCTCCGTTTCTTTATCCTTTGTGTATAGGAGTGCCACTGATTTTTTGGAGTTGATCTTGTATCCTGCCACGTTACTAAAGGTGTTTATCAGCTGTAGGAGTTCTTTGGTAGAGTTTTTGGGGTCGCTTATGTACACTATCATATCGTCAGCAAATAACGAAAGTTTAACTTCATCCTTTCCAATTCGAATCCCCTTGATCCCCTTATGTTGTCTTATTGCTATTGCTAGAACTTCAAGCACTATATTGAAGAGGTATGGAGAGAGTGGACAGCCTTGTCGTGTTCCTGATTTTAGTGGAAAGGCTTTGAGTTTCTCTCCATTCAATTTGATGTTAGCTGTCGGCTTGCTGTATATTGCTTTTATTATATTTAGGTATGATCCTTGTATCCCCAGTCTCTCCAACACCTTT